ATTTAGGCCAAAAACAGTGGAAATAATCATCAGATTTAGTAATGATATGACAATTGTTTAGCATTTTATCACTGATTTTACATGAATTGCAATCAATTGTTTGATTGATTGAAAAATAATCATTATTTTCGCATTCAATCGCTTCACACAAAACACTATTATTTGTATTCAAAATACACTGAATTTTGTCTATTATTTCACACAAACTCTTCATTGCATTGAATTTACTCTCCATTTCATTAAATGAAACACTCATTAATTTTGAACACATTTATATCACTGACTTTTAATTATAGTTAATTTTATATCAATTTTCAAACTTAAAACATTTACTGAAAATGTTTTCGACTTATACTCTGTTAAGTGTTGTCAACGACTGAACGGGTATTGAATGCAAACGAATGGATAGAAAGGGATAAACATTCCTATCGTTTGATAAGAAACTAAATCCTATGAAAAGTATTGAACAAAACATTTGAAACCAAAACTCAATTCAAATACAAATGTGAGGAAAGCTATGGAAACACATATCAAATACAAATTAAACCATTTATAATTTGTTTTAAATTTAATGCAATCTTTTTATAAATTTATTTAGTAATCAATAGTTTATTAATTTTTAAAAGCGCCCAAAAATAACAAATATTTTAAGCAAAAGGCTAACCATAACCAAAATTATAACTTATTTTATATTTTTAATTGTTTTTTATTTAGTTATTTATTTTCAATGATTATTTATTTACTACAAAATATTCGTTTAATTTGATTACATTTTTTACATTACATTTGAAATCCTTATTTATGTCAACTGAACACAACTTTTGTATCGAAATAAATACTGTTTTGTTGTAAAACTTTTTTAACATTTACTGAAATTATAAATAAAGGAAAATTATTTTTGTGTTGAATTGATATGATTTCGAGTGTAATTGTCTTTAATTTATTTTAATAATTATGTAAACAAATTATTATTAAATTATATTTCATGACATGAATCCATACGACTTCAGCAAAACATTTGTCGATCCCTTTAAGAGAGAATGCGATAAGGATGGGGGCAATAATACATATGTATAATACATGTGTATTCTTCCATGTATTATTCATGTATTATACATGGCAAAATTTGCCATACATACAACATGGCGTCAAATATTGACATTATTTGCTAAAAATCGACAAAATTTGCCAAAACATGTTATTTTATAAATTTATTT